GGGAGGACCATGATCAGAAAAGCCTGAGGCTCCAGGTGCCCTGGGACTCACTGTAAGTGGCCGCCACTGCGCTGCTGTGCAGACTCCGGCCACGGGGATGCCCTGCAAGGAGAGGGGTTATGCTGTGCTGCTGCGACCTCATGCTGGGGCACTGGGCTCCACCAGGCCCAGAAAAGGCTCCCTTGGTCCTACCTGTGTGTGCAGCCTGTGCCAGGGCCCGAAGCAGCATGGGTATAGTCAGGCAGCGCATCTGTGGGCATGAAAACCGAGGGGGATGTGTTGGGTCCCAGACCCGGCCCTCCAGGGACTCTGGCAGTGCAGGAGCCCTGACCCTTGACCTCCGTGCCACTGTGTCATCTTGTCCCCTACTTAACGCCATTCCTGTCAGAGGCACAGATGGCCTTCCTGTTCCCAGGCGTGGCACCTGCCAGCCCTCCAACCTGACTCAGCTCAGCCAGGCAAGATTTAGGGAGTATGTGTGGATCCTAAGTTCTATCTCATGGAAGAAATATTTAAAATCCATCCCTCCTGCCTCCCATCTCTCCCCTCCAGTTCATCCTCTCCACATCGGACTCAAACAACACCGCCGGCGGCCGCTGACATTTATTAAAAGTTCACTGTGTCATAGGAGACACACGCACTGTCATTTTGTCCTTACAAGCACCCCATGAGAGAGGCACAGATGAGAAGCTGCAGCTCAATCATGTTAAGTGACTTGACCAAAGTCATACACTAGGGGGCTGGGACCAAGAACTGAACCCAGGCCAGACCCCTTCCTTTACACCCCCAGTCCTCCCCTGCTGGAAACCCCTTGCAGCGGTTCTCAACCTTTCACAGGGGTCGCCTAAGACCATCGGAAAACACAAATTTTCGATGGTCTTAGGAACCGAGACACCGCTCCTCTATCCGTCTTCAGGCCCCCAGGCAGATGCGCCCACATACGAGTACCCGGCGACCCCTGTGAAAGGGTCGTTCGACCCCCAAAGGGGTCGCAACCCCACGGGTTAAGCCTCTAAAGTTTAGAGGCTTAAATAACCATCACGATCAATTTCCTTTCCCAAGCATCAAACTTCTGGAGCTGTCTCCCGGACTGCCAACTGACCATATGTGAAATGGGGGGGCGGGGGATGGGGGGGCGGTGGTCATGAGAACGAAGGGAGTTCATACACGCCAAGGATGTAGCCCAGAGCCAGGCATTTAGTCTGGGCTCAAGAGTGCTCCTCTCGTGACCTGTGACCTCTAACGGGCCCATTCCTTTTGACCACCGACTTCAGCGCCAGACGCCCAACCCTACACTGTCCTCGACCTGCCGCATGACCTCTGACCCCAAGATCGCAGGCGGCACATGCGCCCTGAGGATGCCCGGCCCGCCCGCTACACGCTCAAGGACACAGGGACCGCGGATCATGAGCAAAGCCGAGATGAAGCCCGGGCCCTGAGCCTGCAGGGCCAACGGGGACGCCACACTCGCCCCCGATGCCGCGCTGCCCAGGCCCGGCCCTAGCAGCAGCGCCCCGAACACCCACCTTGAAGCGTTGCCACTCCTTCCCGGTACCGAGCGGCCTGTCCGCCGAGAGGCNCTGCTGAGAATGTACTGAAATCCTTTCACAGTGCTCAGTACCAAGTTCAAAGAGATTGTTTTTGGCTATTCCAGTGGCACTGGGCTTGCGTATGGCTTCAGAGGGAACCACACCACTTTGCTGGGACTGCAAAGCAGGAAGTTCTCAGCAGAAGCCAAGCCAGTAGCCTGGTCTGGGAACTTGGGGAGAAAAGGGATGTGGCTGGAGGCAAGGCAAGGCCAGCTCAGGGGCAGCAGGGCCTGTGTCACCACCCCATGACTGTCACCCCCAGAGCAGACTTCCCCTTGCCCTTCGACAAGGATGATCTAGCCTGAGTTTCTGCCACCTGACATACTTCTGCCTGGCCTAGGGAGGCTCTGTGTCCTTAGGGTCTTAGTTGTGGGTGGCCCTCGGGGGAGGGCAGGCACAGACCCCCGCTGCAGACACCCAGGATTATGGGAACGGCAGACCTGAGCTGGCCCCTGGCCTGCTGAGCCCTAGGGCCTAGCCTCAGCGAGGGCCTGCCAGGTCCCAGAGTCCCACTGGAAAGCTGGGCCAGCTCAGCTGGGCCCACTGAGGGACCGACAGGTCAAGGTCAGGCTGGGCCGTCCCAGCCTGGACAATCGGATTCATGACAGAGGCGGTAGGCGGGGTCAGAGCTTCTTTATTGGGCATCAGGGGCTACGGCCCAGCTGGGCAGGGGCATCACCGGTAGAGATAGTCGGCCTGGATGTTGGCGGCAATCTCGGCCTCCCACTTGTCTCCATTGTTCAGCAGCTTCTCCTTGTTGTACAGTAGCTCCTCGTGCGTCTCCGTGGAGAACTCAAAGTTGGGGCCCTGCAGGCGAGGGTACAGGCACAGCCATGTCAGGCCCCTCCAAGGAGCCTCTGCCCTGGCCTCCTCCACCCTGGGGCCCACTCACCTCAACGATGGCGTCCACAGGGCAGGCCTCCTGGCAGAAGCCGCAGTAGATGCACTTGGTCATGTCAATGTCATAGCGGGTGGTCCGGCGGCTGCCGTCAGCCCGAGGCTCGGCCTCGATGGTGATGGCCTGGGGAGCGGCACAGGGTACTGTCGCCTGCCAGCCACGCTGGGGTCTGGGCACAGGGTCCAGCCCTCACTGCTCATTCCCACCTCTGGGTCTGCACACGCCCACCCCCATCTGGGGGGCTCATTTCCCCAGGGCCTGCAGAGCAGACCCTCTGTCACCCACTTTCAGCCCAGATACTCCTTTCCTGACTCCACCAACACCTGCCCTAGATGACATTTTTCTTGTTGATTTGTTTAACCCAAGAACATGAGCCCCACGACAGGAGGGCTGTTGCCTGCTTCATTTGCTGCAGCAGCTGGAGCCCTGAGGGGTGGCAGCCTGTAGTAGGTGCTGTTACTGTAGGTTAATGTTGAACAACTCTCCCACTTACCTCTAGTTTTCCCCAACTGATGGATAAAATGGAGGCTCAGGGAGGTTGAGCGGCTTCCCAAAGCCACACAGCATGCAAGTGAGGGGCAGACCCCAGACTCGAAGGCCAGTCCTTAACTCTCAGTTCCTAGGTACAGCCTTATGCCACCTGGCGGAAGGGGTGGCCAGGGGCCTCCCACAGCTGGGAGGACCTTCAAAGGGTTGTGGCAAAGGCCCTCCCACGTCCCCAGGAGTGTAATACTCACCACTCACAGGGGTACCTTTGGCTGGTAGCCTCATCTCTTTGTGTCTGTTTCCTAATCTATAAAAATGGGGATAATAATCTCTACCTCCCAGAGATGTTGTAAAGATAAGTCATGACCTTGGCAGAGTGCTTGGTCCGTGCACAGCACTCACTACCTGGAAACCGTCACTCTTATTATTTATTGTTTTGGGGCTCTCCTATATGCTTCAGGTTGCTGGTGGACTGAAGACATTAGGGCCACAGCCGGTGGCCCAGAAGGGCTGAGAGCGGTCCAGGCGACAAGCTAGGTAGGACTGACAGGAGCCATCCTGAGTCGTGGAGACGTGGCCTTGGAACAGCCACTGAGATGGGATCACTGTGTGGACAGTGAGTAACCACTGTGCCTGCTGGGGCTCCTGCTGGGCACGCCATGGGGCTGCCGCCATGATGTGTCTTTCTGTTTCTATACTAACAGGACCTAACTGCAGGCGATCCACGAGGGACCCTCCAACAGAACCAAATACCCGGGCAAAGGCACAGCAACCGGGGGGCAGCGAGGGCCTCAGCTGTGGTGTGTGTCACTGGCTGTGGCCCTGCGACAGGCAAACAGGCAGGGCTCCTGAAACTACTACTGCATCCGGGGAA